GCCCTGTGATAGACTGGTGACCTGTCCAGGGTGTCCCCTGCCTTCACCCTGAGTCAGCTGGGTTAGACTCCAGCCCCCCACGACCGTAGTGAGGATTAAACGGTGTATAGATAATGGATGGATGGATATTTAATGTATTTGTCTCCTCTCTGCTCCATGTAAACACAACCTGCAGTTCATCCTACTTCAGCCAGTCAACATGACTGTTGGTTACCGAGGAGCACAGATTTTTTTTTTTAACAGAATCTGGAACAAACTATTTTTTTTCTGTCTGAACTGATTTTGGTGAAACAAGCTTAGATTTGGTTGAGTTGTCCCAGGTGAGTAGTTTGAGGACTGTTGCAAAAGTTGAAAGTCTGAAAATACTTTGTTTTTACAGTTTCTGGTTTGAATAAAGCGTGTAACTTTAGATAATGTTTTTCAAGGTAACATGCCTCTTAAAAGGTGCCGGGTGAACACTGGAAATACTTAGTTGAAGCTTTACAAAGTGAAGTATGAGAATTGTACGCTGTCAGTGACGATTCAGATACAAGAAGTGCTCGTTGATTGCTAGACAATAAAGCCTCTTCAAAACCAAAGAAAACAAACATACAAAAGAAATTTACCAGAAACTTTTATTCAATCACAAGATCTACATTTAATGGCTGGTTATTTATGACTTGCACAGATGAGCCATGTGGCCTAAATTCACCGACGGTAGCTGGTGTCTCTCTGCCGCCCACACACACACCCACCAACACACCAAGTTGCTTAGTGCATAGGCACATACAGGCTGACGTACACACACACACACACACACACATATGCGCACACAAACAAACCCAGGAGGAGAATAAAAATCGGACCAGATGAGGGGATGTCTGCTGAGCTGTGGCTTGTCGCCAGGGTGACAGGGACCAGGCTCCCAGCATGCCGAGTGTGCTGCAGCTGCCGTTGGTGCTGAGAGAGCCACATGATGAAGATGATGATGTGTTTGGGCCCCATCCAGAGGTCTCCATCAAAATGTGGGCAGGAGAGGTTGTGTGTTTGTGTGTGTGTGTGTGTGTGTGTGGGCGCACATAAATGTGTTTGTGAGACAAGGCAAGAGTCAACACAGTGGGCTATACTCTCCTCGAAAACAATGATCTCAATCAAGTGCAGGTGCTTTCTACAACTCAAGTGTTTTCACCGAAACCCCTCCAGCTTGTTTTCATAGACAAGTCACTGTAACCAGCTGTTCTCTTTCTCTCTGAAACCTGACGCAAAGATTAGTGGCGGGGTGGGGTGG